GCCCCTGCCGGTAATTCGATTGCCGAAGACGGTACTTTCCTTAAAGAGGTTTCGCTTCGTTGCCCTCGGTTATCAAGAACGACCGCTTTATCCTTCGATCGCACGCTCGCGAGAGACTCGACCCGAAGCGGTTTCAGGATTGACGCGTCTAAAACGAAACGCGATAGACGCACGGTGAAATTTTATTCTCCGTGACGTCGTTAAAATCTTCGACGCGATGAAGCGTTCGCCGAGAATGTTCGAGCGAGAAGTTGGAAATGATAAATAAAGACATCTCGTGTCTCGTAACGGCGATTAAACATATTTGTAAACGATTTTCCATGTTTCGCGGATCTGCTGAAAATGTTTGGACAAATAGAGCGCCGACGTAAGGCGCGTAGAACGCGTACGGCGTTACACAGCACGCGATCGAAAGAGGAAACAAAGATAAAATGGAAAATCACTTTCTAGATTCGTCGAGCGTCGACGTTGTACGACAACGACGTTCGAGGACGCGTGATGAAAGTTGGCGACGCGTCTCGTGAAAGAGCAGGAGGCGAGATCGATTGATCCGCCGTTCTCCGTTTGTGTCCCGCGAAGGAAATAAAGCAAAGGGCGTGTTTGGTGTTTCCGTTTCTATGGACGCTTGACCTATTGTCTCAGAGGTTTAATTTTTGGCCCCTGCTCCGCACGAGATTCTTCTCCCGCGGCTCGCCCGTGTCTCCCTCTGTTTCGGTTCCTCCCACGTCATCGGGAGTCTTGCCAAACGTATTCAACGCTCGTACACGCGACAATGCGTCGTTCTCGTTGCGGGACAAGGCGATGCACAATGCGACAGCAATCAGGAGTCGCGCCCCTGTCAGCGGGATCTGCCTCTGTCCCTCTATCGAGTCTATCGAGTCTCTCCTCTCCTTCTATCTTTCCTGCCTCGCTCTATTTTTTCCCTTTTCTTTTTTCTTTTCTCCTCTGTTCCTCCGTTTTTTGTCTCCTTTTCCCATTCAGAGCCTATGAAACACGCTGCTCAATGGGACAGACCGCGTCGGGAAGGGCAGAGGCGGATAAGAACGATTCTTCTCTCTTTCTGCGATTTCGCGGCAGGAGCCAGTGATTT